ACAATTGCGTACGTGAAACCGACCTGACACTAGCGTTTTTCGCGGTGCCATCCACAGGCCACGTGTCCGGCAAGCGTTTACCCTCAGACCTTGATACGCCACGTCAAGGCCGATACCACAAAACCAAACCAGATGCGCGTGAACACCACCTAAATTAAAACACCACATTGAACACTGTGCTTTTCGTGTTTGTGCATGAGGCATGCACCGCGGACGGCTGAAACAGCTGCCCTTCACCAACCCTACCGTCTGCTCTTTCGCCGACCCTCGAAATTCACCTACCTCCTATATCTAAAAAATAAAGCATGACCCTGTTGTGCCGTGTCATGTCCCGAGCGCTTGTGAAATTTCTCAGTGACAGCCAACCCCGGAAACGGCAAATTCATAAAACCATTCCTCACACCCACTCTGTCTGAACATTGCTGGAGATGTCGCGTGGGCGGTTGCCGGTCTCCTGCGAGTGACGTCCTGAGACCCCAGCATCGCGGAAGTGGGAGAAGCCGGGGAGAGGAGCACCTGCCGTTACGCCCCCCCCGCCGTCCTGCGGCACCCCAGTGTTGTTCGAAGAAGCGCCTACGGGCCAGGTCGCTCCGCCACCCCCACTGTACGCGGTCTCCGAGACATAAGGCCCGCGGGGGAAACGCCTCCCATGGTCGGTGATCTTGCTCTGGGTTCCCGGGGAGACAAAACCACCGGATCCAACGGTAGGGTGCACGTTGCGCATCTGCAGGCTGGCAAGCGAGGGGCGTGTCTCGTTGAAAAGCTCACGGCTGGTGAAAGCCCCGGCTGTCGGTGTATGCATGTCGAACGAGCACTCGTCTTCACTCTCAGCGACGGGCTGATCGGTAGCCGTGCAAGGCCGGACCAGACGACTGGCGAATGTGTTACTCGTGTCGATACCTCTCTTACGAACAGTGTGTTCTGCACCGGCGTCGGGAGAGGGCGAACTGTCCAAGACGCCGTTGCTCGTCTCGACACCCCTGTCCTCGCGACCATTGTGCGCGGCACCGGCGCCCGGGAAGGGCGAACTCCCCGAGACATCGATACTCATCTCGACCGCTGTCTTCGGGCGAACAGTGTGTTCGGCACCCGCGTCTGGGGAGGGCGACCTATTGAAGGCGTCCAGCGCACAGTCGTCGTCGCCGTCGCTGCCACCGACGTCAATGGTCCCACCATTGCCATCATCGGCGGAGTCCTCGTCCTCACCCAGGTGGAGATCCAGGTCCTTCTCGGCAGCTCGTACGTCGAGGTAGGTCGGGTTGTCCGTGCCGCCCGGGCCGTTGTCGGGCCCACTCCGCACAAAGTCGCACCGGTTGGCCTTGTCTTCAATGGCGCAATAGCAGAACTTCACCCCCTGTGGACACGGGAAGGTGTCATGGTGTGGTATGGGCGAGAAACGTGGGTGAGCATGCCTGTTGCATATGCACGAAATCAAAAACATTAAAGGTGGCTGTCTTTCGTTCTACAAGACAGGCGGCAACCTGCAACCGTCTCGTATGCATTCTACGCCCTCGTATGCAAGAAAAGGTACTTGGAAAAACAACACTCACGTGAGCCCCCGAGGGGGGGGGGTAGGGGTTCGAAAACATACGAGCCATTCATTGAGCGTTTGGGACCTTCGCGCGTTCGTATACTGTTGTTTCAACAACACATCTCACAAGCAGTTGTGCCACGTTACCGGTGACGAAAAGCTTATATGGAGGCACATGCGGGAACGATGAAGAGAGGAGTGTTTTGTACCCAAGCGTGCACCCACAGCTTGAAGTATTCCTTTAAACTATCAGAGGAACAACTAGAGGCTGTCCTAGACGGACATTCGGGGTGTACATGACATGCTTCGGAAGATAAGCATGGGGGTCGCGGGGTAATGCCAGCCGCGTTTCGGGGATCAAAGCCCACATGGCATTCACACACGCACAGAAGCAAGCAGCAGCAGCCTCAGCGAAACGCTGAGCATCCAACCCGGGGTCCCCGACACATGTCCCAGCCTCAACTCAAACCCCGGGGATCTCTTGTGTACGTGTCCACCCCCCCCCCTGTTTTTCTGTATGTTGTCTTGCCTGTGCTGAAATGTTTCCGTCCCTTGCTCGTATGCTACCCACAAATAAACAAGAAAATCTACTCTCAAGGCGGCAAACCATACACACACCTTTGCGGCCAACGACGGGGTTCTTGACACCCGAAGTTCACACGGCTGGCCGTGGTCCGAGCACACGACCGTTCCGCCACTGGTGTCGACGCCACTGATACCGACGGAGGCTCTCGTGTTGCCGGCACTCGCGTCGTTCAACGGCTGGTGGTAGTCGCAGCGCTGCACGAGGTCGTCCATGGCGCAGCCGAGGTAGTACTGGCCCTTGTTGGCTCCCTGATAGTACGGCAAGGCGTGTTACAAAAGGTGTTGGCCGATGTTCGCGAGGGGGTCGTCAAGGTCGTTGTACGAAAGCGCATCGTTGGGAGCGATCACGTCCGACGCATGAACCCTACACCAACATACGGCTGTAGTATTGTCTTACACGCGAGAACAACCGGTTCCTACAACATCAATACATCAATATATCAGCATGCATGCGGTGCTTGGGTACCACCAACGTTGTACAACACAACACCAATCATGATGCACCCCGCTCAACACCTACCCGAGAGACGCAGCGCCGGCGCGCCGGCATGCCGTGCATGCAGCGGTGGGTCCCACTCGGTACCACGCCGTCGGTGGCGTCCATGTCGACGACGCCTGCCGAGCCTCCTCCGAGTGCGCTGCCCTTAGAGGGGCCGGCCACCGAGCTGCCGGTGCTGAAGCCATGGTCCGCGGCGTCGCTGCTACCACGCGCCAAGTCGATGCACCCGAGTGTGCTGTCCGTAGAGCTGCCGGCCACCGAGCTGCCGGTGCTGGAGCGATGCCCCGCGGCGTTGCTGCTACCACGCGCCAAGTCGACGCACTCACTGCTCGACCTGACGCCCGGCGCCGACCTCTTCCCACCTGTCGGTACCTCGCTAGTTGGCCCGCTGAGCTGGGCCAAGGCACCGGTGAGGACTTCCCGACGCTTCTGCCTGAGGGTGTCCCGCTGGTTCGTGTCCTGGTCCTCGTCCGCCATCGTTTCCAGCTGTTGCAATAGATCGGCTTGCGCTTTGGCCGTTGCGCTGATTTCGCTCCCCTTGTTGCTCCCGACGACCTGAGACAGCACGCCCACCAGCTGCTCCATGTGCTTGCTGCTCTCGCCCATCTTCTCCTCGAATTTGGTCGTGGTTTCCGCCTTGCGGTCGGCCTTGCGCTTCTCCCGCTTCATGTGGGCCATCTCGCGGCGGCTGTGTTCGCCGTTGGAGCCGACCGCGGTGAGGGCCGCGGGCGACCCCAGGGCACTAGCCTTTCCGCCAGCTTCACCGGTGGAAGGAGCGACGGGCGAGGCGGAGGAAGAACCTGTCCCCCCGATGCAGAGGTCGGAGATGGGGTTAGAGCTCAGGGGCCCGAGGAGAGACCAGCAGTACAGGTTGTGAGGGAGCCAGTTTTCGGGGCAGGGGTGGCGCTGTCGTGGCTTGGGCCCGTTCCTGGCGGCTTCTCGCGCGGCGTCCATAGCGGCAGCGGCGGCGGCCTGCTCTGCGGGCCCCTTCGTCGCAGCCTCGTTCACCGCTTTCTCTGCCTCAGCTAGCGATGCCCTGACCTTCTTGAGCTGCCTTGCCTTGTTGGCAGCGTCCGACTCGTCTTGCCTGTCCTCCCACAGCTTGAGAATGAGCAGCAGGATGAAGTCCCACCACTGATGCCCGGAGGGGACCTTGCCGCCCTCGGGCTTCACCCTGCGGTGACGGAGGGGGAGCAAGGGGGAGGGGGGGGGGTCACGAAAGCGACAGGGGTGGTGAGGGAGGGATGTTTCCACGAAGCATCGGGACAAAACCTTGTTCTTGTCGTGCAACGGCAGCCTACGCATAGTGGCGGTCCCGACATACCGCGGAAACAAATGTTGGCACGACTCTAGACCCTCAACAACGCGGTAACAGCGGCATTGAAAGTAACATTGAGGAGTAACCACGTTGTTGAGGTAATATCGACTGTGTGTGCCGCGCAAAACGATGATGCTGACCCGCACTGGGCGCAGCGTGTGTTCGGCGAAAGAAGAAGTGGTATTGATGTACGTAGAAGCACAATTGTTGCAAAAAAAATACTCGGGGAGTATATTTGTTTTGTGGTGACAAGATGATGCAGCTGTTGCGCACACAGAGGAACAACTTGCTGGAGAGAAGACAATTTTCACCGAAACGGGAAGACAACAGTGAGCGGCATTTTCAAACGCACATCGTTCGGAACCCACTAGATACACCAACACACACCACCTAACCCTGTGTCCAGACCTCGTGCGCGAGTGCTACTCTCTTTCCGAACGAAACCAAATTTCCGTCATGTCATACCCTTTCCGAATGTAAGCGTTCTCCTCTCTTGCCTCTTGTTTTCTGCACTCATCGGTAACCCTAACTGCAAATCACTTGCCGCGCACGAAGAAGGGATTCAGGCGACGCTCTGCTACTCACAGCAATACAAAGATTCACAGCAGTGGGAAGAGCTTTCCGCAAAAATAAACGAATGTAGAGCTGGAAGTTTGCAGGCGTGCAGGTTCATGTGGAGGGGAGCGCCAAAACCAACAGGGGAAGCGTCTTTGGAGTAACTCCTTCGGCCGAACACCGAACAGCCAAAATTTGATCGTCGAGTACTAAGGTGGACAATGGCGCCCACCCGACCTGCCAACGTACCGACAAGTTCAAGCACTACAAGGGCGGGCTGCTACGCGCATCTAGCTTAGCTACAGTTGAGCTACATGCTCCGTAAGGATGCGTGCGAACGCATGGGGGTGCGATCGGTTTTCAAATGATTTGGTTTTTGCCTCTTTATCACACCCTCGTGCGATATCACACCCTCGTGCGATATCACCGGTTCCCATCCGATATTCAAAATAATCGATTTGGTTCTTGGGTTTTCATCGAACGGGGGGTGCACATCACCGGTATGTGCGATACTGAGTAAACAATAAGCCCTACAGCAGCAGTCCCGTAGTCCCGTGGGTGCTTTCGTTGCTTTTGATGATGGTAAATGGTTCGACTCCTTGATTTTTATCATATTTTCCAGTGTTTCAATAGGTGAATGGTACGCGATGCCGCCATACGCACAGCGAAGTACCTGCTGCGCAACGAGTGCCCCGGAGCCACTCGGGGCTTGGCATCGGTGATATCGCACCCATGCGATATCACCGAATCCCGTGCGATAATCGAATTACATGACTTGGTTCTTGGTTTTTATCGCACGGGATGCGATCTCACCGGTACGTGCGATATCACAGAACCGTGCGTTGTCTCGCATCCTTATGGTACATCCCTGGGGTGGTGTGAGGTTGCTTGTCGTGACCTGTTGCTGTTGGCAACTGGAGCGAAGTTTCGTGGGCTTGTTTACAAAATAAGAGTACTTTCTGAAAATATATCTGCGGGGGCATAAGGCTTACCCTGAACGTTTCACGCGCCTCTATCTCGCATAACTTCTTCAAAGACATGCGGAGGTTTGTGTTTACTAAGGCCTAGCGGTGTAGGGAAGGGTGGAACCGTGCAGCAGCCCGGGTCACGGCCCGTGTGTTTTGTCTTCAACTTTGCCGTGTAAGAAAAATGAAATGTTGGACAAAAAAAGAAAGCATTCCGCTAGCACTATGCAATCCTCACGGGACTACCGCCGCTCGGCACACCAAACTTATGGCAAAGCTCATCGCCACGAAACACTCACTCTGCCCATGCCGCGGTGATGTTCCCGACTTTCTTCTTCACATCCAGGTACCTGGACCAACACGTATTGGAAGTAGGATCGTACAGGGGGCAGGGTGTCGATACCCCTTCGAACACAACACGCACGGGGGGGGGGGGTGTCTTCATTAGTGATATCTACCGAGCCGTACGTCTTCATTACGGGGCTTCATTCAGGGTTGTTGGCTGCCACCCGTGTGGCTCCACAACCCTTGCTTCAAGAATACGACGGGTGCATGAATGAATGAACCAACTTTTCAAATGAAGGAAGTAGTCAGTCTAGAAAGAGGGCGAGCGTTGCTGTCGTCGGAAATGGACAGTAAGTAATCGAATATTGACGCATCCATCTCACGCGTGGTGTTGGATTCCATAAAGAGACAGGCAAGCTGTTCACTTTCAGATTGTTAAATTCAATTTTCAAATATTTACATTCGAGAGGATTCATACTATACTGCTGTCGTCGTTGCTGACTTCGCTGACAATATGCGATATGGTTTTTTTTTATTGCACTTTCAAGAGTTGATGCTAACTCTTGTCGCTGCTGACAATATGCAGCGGCTAGGACATGTGTGCGTGGTCCATGGTGCTGTGGGTAGCCGAAACTTGTGTGCTAAATGCGCGGGTTCGTCTCGTCGGATTTGGCGCCAAATCGGGATCCATTGGATCTCCACCTTTTAAGCACCATGGTGCACACACAACGGTGGACTACGGCTCGTGAGACAGACATGTTTAAATGAGGTTGACTCAGCGTCCGACGGCTACTACTCTCTGCGAAATGATGGACGCCACCGTCTACAACAGCGCAAGGGAGATCGGACACTCACCATCACCTTTACCCGGCTGCGGGGTGCCGTTCAGGACAAGCTTGCCCATCGCCGCAACGTTGAGCTCTCGCGGGAGCTGCAGGTTCGCCGTCTCGACGAGGAAACGGAGCATGCCAGGGGCAGCGGCATCCCGGTAGGCCCGGGCTGCAAGGCTGTGGAGCTGGGCCCCCTTCATCGTGGGTTCTTGGGTGCAACGCTGCCCTACCCACATGAGCGCCACCGCTTGGTACTGGGAAACCAGCTGCTTGGGCATGTTCTCCAAACCGACGCCCCACAAATGGTTACCCCGGTTCAAGATTTGTTGTTGGATCGACTCATGTTCAAGGGGAAGTGCTTCTACTACCATCGTGACGGAGGGCGGGAGGCTGAGAGAGTGACAGAGGGCCGGAGAGTGTTGCTTGTGACGAGAGGGTGGCTAGTGCGGCGATGTGCGATACTTTTTTTTTTTGACCGGCGGCGCAACTAAAACTGGCACACGCCACCTGGATCTTCACCAAATCCGTTTTTTTTTTTTTAACCGACCATAAGTGTTGATCTCAAGAATCGCAGCTGTTCTATGGATACCGTGGAATTTCCGCCCTGATGCTGTGGTTTCCAGCAAAATCGCAGACCTTCCATAAGATTTGGCCTGAGTCGATTTTTTTATTTGTCCGCACGTACAAGACTCGCATAGGTAACAAGAGCGTTACATCACAGAGTTTATGTGCCACGATGAACATTCTATGTCACCAAGCTCGACCACTTTGGGTGGCCACGGGTTCTGCTGACTGCTGTAAAATGTTATCGAGTTTTTACGAATTTGTCTGTGATTGATCTGTGCCCCGGCCCCCCCGTGGAGCGCTGCAGCGGCGCTCGTTCGACCGAGTTGGCCTCCTGGAGATCGATGAAGCATATGTACGGCGGTCTTGCTGGCCTCCACCCCAGCTCCTGGAATCGATGAATTACTACGTGATCGGAAGACGCACTGTTCGTCCGACAGAGTCTCGCGAGCTTCGGAAATCGCTGTATATCTTCAGCAGCATGCATGACATTGAGAAGAAGTGACGTCCCCCACTGTTGTTACAGTTACGGAGATCCGTCGTACTCGTTGCACAGCATTCGAAATGTTGCCTCTCTCAGTTCTCGTGGAACCTCCCCCAGTTCCACACGTCAATGAGGATGGCACGAACGCCTTCGAGAACATGCTGCTGCTGTAGACTAGACTCATCGGGGTGTGTCGATGTTGATATGAACAACTCTACAGGTGGGTACCCTTCCGTTTCGATTCCTTGGGCTGTCAGCTGCCAATCTAGTCCTGTCCAATAGATCGGTGCTGACTTGAGATATTCCGAATCTCCCGTGGATGGTGCGCGGGCCGCCTCTTCACCTCCTGTGTCACGTGCGAAAAATTGTGCCGCCCACGATGTCGTTGTGCCGAAACGTAACTTGCTCTTCCGCAAACCTGCCCACGGGAGTGATATGTTTTAAATGATTTCGCGGAACCCCCCGCATGGCGCTGGAATTTGCAAATTGCTGCAAATTTCAAGGAACATCTCTCCATCTCTCGCTCCTTCGGGCTGCGCTAGCGGGTGCACCACACGTCGCAACGCTCTCTAGGCGTTCCACGCTTCGGTGAAGTGTTGTTCGCGCCCCTTCACGTTCGGTACGGTTCACAACCTTATATGGCGGCGCAACTTCAAGCGTTCAGGAACATGGACTGTCGTGAGTACATGAGCTATACGGTAGTCTACCACTGCTGTCCTGGCGACATCTTTCTACATTCGCCTTCGGTTCGTGAGGGAAGCGTTGCAAAATGACAACGAAACGCAGTTAGCCTTCAATAACTTGGTAACTCATGAGTCAAGTTCGAATTCAATATCCAGTTAATAATTGTGCTGACGCGTGGCCCTTCCTCCGCAGGAGGTGTGCGGGCACAGAGGGTATCCTTATCCAGGGTTTGTCTGCAGCAGCAACTGCAGCAGCAGCAGCAAATGCAGCAGCGCGTGCATTTCATCCCTAAACCCATTACACAAGATTCCTCCCGGCCGTTCCATCGAATCGATAAATCTAGGTTGGTATCTTTATCGCTTCCCGTTGAGGTATCCTCTAACTCTCGTTTACGCGTGACGTGATGATTACATCGATTGGACTACAAAGCTGTCGACGTTTGACCTGGATGCCCTGTGCAAAGTTACGTGGTGCTGCAGGGTCGCATGCTTACCCCGCCGTCTGTGAGTGAGACTGCTGAGTAAGCGGCAATCGTTGAACGCGAAATTCACCACTGTTAGAGTCGTGTCACTGCCTCCCCTTGTTCTAGATTACTGTAGACTACAGTAATAGTGCGTACATTTACTGATATTTTACCTTCGTTACCCTCGACTCGCAGAGACTTGCCAAAAGCACCTGGCAGAAGTCCTACGCGCAGAACGGCCGCAACGACTCCTGGAGGCTATCAAGCAGGTATGGTGCGTGTGGAAATGTTCGATCCTTGACCCACACCGCTGTTTTTGGTCCTGTGCTCTAGACTAGACACCACTCCATTTCGTCTAAGTTTCACCTCCGGCGATGTAGCCATTTCCTTCTGAGTATTGTCGTTTTTTCCTTGGTCTTTTAATAGTTTATTTTTTGAAAAAGTGGGGCCCGTTATAGGGGTGCGCTTTTTGTTTTGTTTCGCAAAAAAAAAACTGTTTAGAGGGATCGTGGGTGGAGTATGTGCGCACGAGAAATAGAATAATTTTCATGCACAGGGGCGTGAAAATTTAGCCATGGCTGTCTGGTGTCTGGTGTCTGTCTGCGCGCCCTAAATACCCAGCAGACTCGAGCCCATTTCACCATCTCGGCACCAAATTGCAAACTAAAACTTGCGCACAACAAGTAACATTTTGCCCGAGCTGTCCCAACCGCTAC